TCCCCTATTCGTTTCCATGAGTATATATTGTTGTTGTGTAATGGACATGTGCCTGTGGCTTTTATACTGAAACATTCTACAATTCTTCTTCTCTTTCTTCTTCTAGTCAAGGGACGACGTGTGGAGCTATTATTTATTAATTAGTGAAATAAGGTTACTATCAACTTATTACTAAGATATTTTTTGTTAGAGGATAATCACCAGCATTGGCAAGCTTGACCTCCTCCACATGTGTGTCCACGTGATATAACTTTTTATGACCATTGACAATGGTCAGAGTCACCAGTATGCAGGGGTGGTGGGGTAGCCTAGTGGTTAAAACGTTCGCTCGTCACGCTGAAGACCGGCGTTCCATTTCCCACATGGGTACAATGTGTGAAGCCCATTTCTGGTGTCCCCTGTCGTGATGTTGCTGGAATATTGCTAAAAGCAGCGTAAAACCATACTCACTCACTCACTCACCAGTATGCAAAGGCAACAGTCCTACGAGTGTTCACCTTTCGCTGAAGGCCTGGATTCCCCACATAGGTACAATGTACGAAACCCATTTCTGGTGTCCCACGCCGTGATATTGCGGGTATGTTGCTAAAAGTCACTCTCAATGTGTTATATATATTTACTTTATTTAAGAAGGTCGTGAGTAAAACTGTGATTTATTTTCACTTGACTGAATGCTGCAGTTGTCCCGATGTCTTTCACAGAATAGTTAAAATGTAAAAACATTGCAATATAAAGCAAACTTATTTCCACAAGGTATTAAATGTTCGCATAAAATCACAAATGCCAAAGAGAATTCATTGTATCGCCAGATACAGTGACCTCTTGTGCATGACAGGTGCATCTTGATTGCATTTACAATCCCCTACATAAGTACACCGGAAAACATTTGGACACTGGATCTTCTCACCATACTGCAAACTTCACACACGCCTACAAATGCACGTCCTGATCCATCTCTGTCCACATTTATGACAACCCCTGCAACTTTGTGTCCAAATCGGATCAAGAGCAAATGTGTCAAAAGAATGTAACCACTGTACTCGACATTGCTGTGACTATGATTGGCATGTTATCTTGCGCTGTGAATGTTTTATGTCTGACACAAATAATGTATTCTACTGCTTGACTGATAAACTTGACGTTGATATATATATATTTATATACTGACGACGATTATGCTGTCATTGTTTTTCGCGCAGATATACATGACTTAACTGAAACAATTGACTATGATACATGGGAATACATAATACTGTCATTTTCTCACTTCGTATGGTATCTAAAGAAATATCTACTATACATCTACTATACATCTACTATGCATCTACTAAACATCTACTGTACATCTACTATACATCTACTGTACATCTACTATACATCTACTGTACATCTACTGTACATCTACTGTACATCTACTATACATCTACTGTACATCTACTATACATCTACTGTACATCTACTGTACATCTACTATACATCTACTGTACATCTACTATACATCTACTGTACATCTACTGTACATCTACTGTACATCTACTATACATCTACTATACATCTACTATACATGTACTACTGTACATCTACTGTACATCTACTGTACATCTACTGTACATCTACTATACATCTACTGTACATCTACTGTACATCTACTATACATCTACTGTACATCTACTATACATCTACTGTACATCTACTATACATCTACTGTACATCTACTGTACATCTACTCTACTGTACATCTACTATACATACATCTACTACATCTACTGTACATCTACTATACATCTACTATACATCTACTATACATCTACTGTACATCTACTATACATCTACTATGCATCTACTATACATCTACTATACATCTACTATACATCTACTGTACATCTACTGTACATCTACTGTACATCTACTATACATCTACTATACATCTACTGTACATCTACTATACATCTACTATACATCTACTATACATCTACTATACATCTACTATACATCTACTATACATCTACTATACATCTACTATACATCTACTATACATCTACTGTACATCTACTATACATCTACTATACATCTACTATACATCTACTGTACATCTACTATACATCTACTATACATCTACTATACATCTACTATGCATCTACTATACATCTACTATACATCTACTACTCTACATCTACTGTACATCTACTATACATCTACTATACATCTACTATACATCTACTGTACATCTACTGTACATCTACATCTACTATACATCTACTATATCTACATCTATACATCTACTATACATCTACTACTGTACATCTACTGTACATCTACTATACATCTACATACATCTACTACATCTACTATACATCTACTGTATACATCTACTATACATCTACTATACATCTACTATACACTGTACATCTACTGTACATCTACTATATCATACTACATCTACTGTACATACATCTACATCTACTACATCTACTGTACATCTATCTATACATCTACTGTACATCTACTGTATATCTATACATCTACTATGTACATCTACTATACATCTACTATGTACATCTACTATACATCTACTATACATCTACTGTACATCTACTATACATCTACTGTACATCTACTGTACATCTACTGTACATCTACTAAACACAATCTCCCTATTGCTCACGAGCTGTTTAGTGCAGTGCAACATAACGTATGATTTCATTTTGCTACAAATGCTGTTCCATTTTGTTTGCAAGTGATGGATGCATTGTGAATAATGTATTTGCATGTGTATGATATTCGGATTCGACTCTGAGGGAATAAACACGTTCATTCATTCATTCATTCATTTATTCAGGGCGGTGGGGTAGCCTAGTGGTTAAAGCGTTCGCTCGTCACGCCGAAGATCCGGGTTCGATTCCCCGAATGGGTACAATCTGTGAAGCCCATTTCTAGTGTCCCCTGCCGTGATATTGCTGGAATATTGCTAAAAGCGGCCTAAAACTGAACTCACTCACTCACTCCACCTGATGTTTTTATCAATACAAAAAGTAAAGCATAATAAACAATTTATACATCATAGACTACCTTTATATAGATGCCACTGTATACTTCATTACTAGCTGATGACGAATACATATGTTTACACTCCACAAAAAGAAACGCATCATGAAAATAGCAATTTCATGTAGCAATGAATTAAAACGTGATTCATTTTACAAAATGTTTTGCTCTGTTTATGAGTCCTATGGTGTTTATGTTTTGAAACATCACAACAAAACGCACCATCCATAAAATATTCGTATTTAACAGCATGATTTTCAATTTCGGCGTGTAGGGGTCACAGAATACACAATTCACATGCAATGCACGTGAAAGTTAGGGATCAGATAGTCTCAATGATGGGTATAAAAGGTTGATCGCTGTCTGTCGATTATTCACTGTATTTGGAATATTGTTGACGAACGCAAAATGCCACGTCTAAGTGAAGCCAACCGTCATATCGCCATTGGTTTGCTTGAAGCTGGCCAGTCTCAACGTGCAGTTGCCCGACGCATGAATGTTCACCAAAGCACCATTTCACGGCTCTGGGAGAGATATCGCCGGCAGAATGCGGTAGCAGATGCCCCACGTAGTGGCGACCTCGAGCGATCACTGCGGCGCAGGATCGCTATAGCAAAATCCGGGTACATCACCTGCGTCATCGAACAGCTACGGCGACCAGTACCGCTCGACAAATACCCGGATTGAGGAGGCTTTCTGCACAGACCATCAGGAACAGGTTGAGAGAGGCTGGTTTACGTGCCAGAAGACCTTATTTTGGCCCTGTGCTTCGACAACAACATCGTCGACATCGAGTTCAATGGTGCACCAACGTTCAGGCCTGGAACCTACCGAATTGGCGTAGAATCTGGTTCAGTGATGAATCACGATTTCTATTGGAACGACGCGATGGAAGAATGCGGGTGTACAGACGTCGACGTGAACGTTTCGCCGACGCTTGCGTTCCCCAGGTGGACAGATTCGGCCGGGACAGTGTTATGATGTGGGGAGCGATCACCTGCCGTAGGAGAAGTGATTCGGTGATGATCCAGGGCAACCTGACAGCTCAACGGTACTGTGACGAAATCCTACGACCACACCTCCTTCCAATCATTGATCGCCAGAGGGAGTTGTTTCAACAGGACAATGCCAGGCCCCACACAGCACGTCACACTAGAGACTTCCTCCAGAACCACAACATCAATGTGCTCCCCTGGCCCTCAAGATCACCGGACTTAAACCCGATCGAACATCTGTGGGATGCCCTGGACAGACGGGTGCGACGACACTTCAGCAACTCGTACAGGCACAGGCAGAGTGGGCTGCGATTGGGCAACACGTGATTCTGAGACTTATTCGTTCGATGCCGAGGCGATGCCGTGCAGTTCTGGATGCTCACGGTGGTCACACGAGGTATTGACTTCAGCGCCACCACACGTCTCCATGTGACACTCAAACTGACTTTCCTCGAGTTGGTGCCAAAGACGGATATGTCTGCATTCCCAGTGTGCAATTTTGCTATATTTAATTGACTCATAAAGCCTACAATATGTTTCAAAATATACATAAAAATACAGTTGAAATTCCTATATGCGTTTCTTTTTTGGGAGAGTATATATGTACTTACAGGTAGTTTTACTTTTCATTACAATATATACATACATACATACATACATACATACATACATACATACGTTACATACGTACGTACGTACGTACGTACATACATACATACTATACAAACTGTATGGTGTTATAATTGAGGTATGTCTAACAAAGCGTCTAGTCATCTGTAGAGAAGAACCTTCAGTTTATGTACATAAAGCCTACAAGATGTTTCCAAAATATACATAAAAATACAGTTGAAATTCCTATATTCGTTTCTTTTTGGGAGAGTATATATGTACTTACAGGTAGTTATACTTTTCATTACAATTTATAAATACATACTTACGTATATATATAAAAACCATACAAACTATACAAACTTTATGCTGTTATAATTGAGGCATGTCTAACAAAGAGTCTAGTCATCTGTAGAGAAGAACTTTCAGTTTATGTATTCTGTTAGTTTGTTGTCAACGTGAAACGCCACATTTCGAAACTCAAGACGTGAACAGTTGTCTCAAATGTTTCGGTTGCTTTCGACTGTTTGTGATCTTAAGTATGGCGAAACAGTTTTCAAAAGTTTAGATTTTGAGTTCAAATGGGTATCTGATGTTTCTTTATACAAAACATTTTGATGGTAGTGTTTGAACTAACCATTTTGTCGTCTTTAGGGGTAGGTCTGGAACTCCCAGATGACTGTGTTCCTACACAGACACTGTCATGATGATAATGACATGTTCTATGTACATTTCCCAGAGTACAGATTAAATATTCTGCTTTTATCGGATATTTGTTATAGATGTGGAAAGGGTTTTGCCACTTGTTTTGCAATAAGCCAACCTACATGTGCTAACGATATGTACTTATAGAGATGAGATAAATATAGTCAATAAATAGTTTTCTGCAGTATCCATCTGTGTAGTTAAACATTGTTGCTTCAGTCCTAAAAGTACAAGATATCAGTGTTTCTGTTTACATTAAAATATCACACTGAGTATGCAATGTCACTTTCTTGAAAAATACGTGAGAACGTGTTCTTTATTCCTCGGCCAAGTTGCTTCAATCCATCCCAAATACCGAGTGATTCCTCCTTCTCTATCTCCTCGCGCGCCTTTTCACGAGCCATTTTCTGATCCTCTGTCAGCTTCTTTTCCATTGCCCCCATCTCCTTCTTGTGTTCTCGGTCCTTCACTTCCCTGTCAAATTCGGCTTGTTTCTTTGCATTGGCAATCTCCTTCTTCAGAGCATTTATTTCATCAGATTGTTTTGAAGTCGTTTCTAAAACTTTGAGTTGATCTTGAAGACCACTGACATGTTTCTCATTGTCCTCCTTCATTTTCTTTACAGTTTCCTCAAATTCCTTCTCTAACTTTTGCCGTTCCTGCTTTGCATGTTCCTCCATTTGCTCGGCAAGCTGCTTCTCTCTTCGTTTCATCACAAGCTCAGCTTCCTTGTACATCTCGCTTGTGTAGCACGTTCCGTTGTTTCTCTCTACATTAGCATAAATCATGTTGAACAATGTACGTACCTGGGCATCATCTTGACGTGGAAGTCTGTTGTTGAAGGCAATGTATCTGTTGTTACAATCAGCAAGGAGCTGTTTCAGTTCCGGAGGGACCGCTTGAACGAAGTCTTCTATACTTGACCTATCAGCATCAAGATCGTCTTTCCTTGTAAAGATAACGAACAGGTACTCATTCATTCCTTCACCGAACACAGCCCTGAAGTGTTCCACTGTATTTTCTCCTCCTCTGTGAACCGGTCTATTCTCGTCACTAAAATGATGGCATGAGGTCCCGGGGATGTCAATGCCACACATTTCACCACCTCTTTAATCGTGTCCGTGTTTGACAATCCTGTGTCAAACAATCCCGGCGTGTCCACTACCTCGAGACTGTACCCGTATCGCTGAGTGGAGGTACGTTTGCATTGTCTAGTGACTGACTGACCTGCCACTTTGGAGTGGAACAACTTCTTTCCTGTGAGGGTGTTGCCAGTGGCGCTTTTACCAGATCCAGTGCGACCGATGAGCACGATCCGAATTTCTTTCTCCAGAGATTCTGTAGTCTGTAGAAGTTCAGTGTTGCTGTCTGAATGCACACCAAATATAAAAAAAGGTTTTTATTGGGACTTACAATAAAATGTATTCATTTTGCCAAGGATAATCTCTATTCATGTATGATATATCTGGTATGGAATTATCACTTGATCCGCAGATGTAGAAGTATAGCACTGCAATTGACCTTTTTTAAGAATAACATTTTGGTTAAGAAAGGGAACAGATGTTTATCAATAGGTGTGTATCAATATGTAGATTACAACTGGATATGGCTATGAAAATGGACATACTTCTAAGAAATATCTGGGTGCATATAGGCCGAAAGTAACCCAGAAACGTACCTATTAAATCTTTCCGGAAAGCACAGCCCAAGAAGAACCTTGGCGTTATGATAGGCTTGTACTCTTATGAAATTGTAACAAGACAAGCTGTATAGAACAAATAACGATCATACTGCCTGACTATTGCCCTACGAAAGACGTTGACAGCATAATGAATGCCACCCTTACACGCACACCATATTAATATCATAGCATAGCATGTCAAACATAGCATGGAATAGACGTGTATTCAGTATACATGTTCCTGGAAAGTCATTAACGACACTATAATTACAGTTGAAGGCAATCGCCCTGTATAAGACAGCTTGTAGTGTACATTGTTTTCATGGAATAATACTATTGAATTAGCTTGCGTGAGGGTCTTTCTCCAGCCATATAGCCACGAGACCAAGTTGTCACATCATGTTGATGTCGACGAAGTCATTGTTATGGTATTATGCCGGTAGATAGTATATCATACGCTAAACTGCCAATAAGTAGGTTTGTATGATAATGCATTATTGTTCAGTTTGAAGTTGACTTAAGTTTGAAATTGGTAAACGTGAAAGACGACAACCAGTTAGTCTATAGAACTCCAAAGTCAACGTGAAAGAAGACAACCAATTAGTCTACAGAACTCCCAAAGCACCTGCTATAACTGGGATGAGAACAGTCACAACTTTTAAAATCATTTTGCCAAATTTTCGCATGGTAAGTTTGTTTTCAGTTTGTATCTCCTTGCGGACTATTTCTCTGTAATCACGATTTGCGTTTGCAATTATTTCTCGATATTTTTCCTCCTTGGCTGTATATTCTGCTTGAAGTCTTCGCTTATCTTCATCTTGACAAGCCCTCAATTCCTGCAGTTGTTCTTCCAGTCCCTGTATCTCTGCCTGTGTGGACATAGCGGGTGAAAGAGAACATTGCTGTCGACGTAACCCTTCCAACCTTGAAATCTCCCTTGAACATTTCTTTTTTAATTGCTGCATATGTTCATCAAAATCACGTTTCAATTTCGCTAATGTAACGCCAGTACCATCATGAAATTGTTGTCTTATTTCGTTTTCACGTTGAAGAATTGCCTTTTCAGCCTCTGTAAACATTTCATTGCTGTACCAACTGCCACCGTTTTGTATAAGGATGCTATCTACGATTTGAAGGAATGCTTTTACATCCGTATCCGATGGGTTTCGGTTATCAAAGGTCAAACATCGGTTGTCACACAGCTGTAGAAATCTTTTGAGTTCCATCGAAGCGTCATTCAGGAATCTCTGAAAAGTTGTTTGGTTATGGATCAAATCATCCTTCCGGGTGAACAGCACAAGCGTGTGGTTCAGCATCCCCTCACCGAACATCTTCTTGAAGTGATTCACTGAGTCCTGCTCCTCCTTCGTGAACCGATCCATCCTGAGAACCAGGACAAAGACATGTGGCCCTGGAGCCGCCATGCCAATACACTTGACCAACTCCCTGGAAACCTCAGCATTGGACATCCTTGTGTCAAACAGCCCTGGTGTATCTAACACTTGTAATCTTCGTCCAAATCTATCAGCAGTTCCTCTGTTACAAGTCTTGGTAACTGAGAGTCCAAAGGCTTTTGATAAAAATGCTTTATGCCCAAGTATTGAATTTCCTGTTGCACTCTTTCCTGAGCCAGTCTTACCCAGCAAGACTATTCTTCTTTCACTTTTCGAATTTGCTGCTGGTTGTGTTCCTTGTCCATCAACTGTGGATAGTCAAACCCTGATTTCATATGAAGGAACTAACCGTCCAGAGTCATTCATCAGACCACTTTTCTATACCATTATGATATAGAACAAACTTTATGGATAACGACTTCTTTTTCTCTGCGACGTTTCGTACATTATGTTTTTGAGATCTTTAGATCTGGCCATTGTCATTGTTCTATATTGGAACCAACTTCTAAAATGTAGGTCTACCATTATGTTTTGAGACTTTTAGACCTGGCCATTGAGTATGAACTGTTGTATTACCTGCCACTGGGGATTCATGTGTTGGTGTTTTCGAAATTCCGTGTTGTTCGGTCACTAAGATGTTTGAATTAGACAGATTTATGATTGCGTTTCTGATGCCTCCATTTAGACTTGCTGACAGTGAACATTCAGTAGATCCAGATAATAGAGGAATAGATTCTAAGTTTAAACATTCAGTAATAAAAAGTTGTAGATATAGGAGAAACGTTAAAAGAATATTTCTAAAAATTCTTAGCAGTCTTACCTTGAGCTGATGCTCTTGGCGTCTCTGCAACTCTTGATGAGGTTTTGGCTATTCTTGGAGTCACTCTGGTAGGCTGTGGTATGTTGGAGGCATTGTTCTCGGCTTCAGGATCCCAACTGGACGTGGAGGCAGCTATAATTTGTAACGATAGAGTGTGTCAGGTTTAGTGACAAATGTCCCATAGAATGAAGCTTTAAAGTAGATGTGTCGCAGTAACGAAATAAGTAGATATAGCTGGGATTTCGAGTATTTTGAGACTATAAATGATATTAATTTCTCTTGTCACAAATATATACTTGTGGAAACAAATATGTACTTATGTAGAAATAAGGGAACAAATGAAAGTACAAGTGTTCCTTTATTTATTTCCAAACTTTCACCCAAACTGCAATTATACATAACCTTGTGAAGATACCTGGAAAAGAATAAAGGAACACATGTACTTTCATGTGTTCCCTTTTTTGTTTCCATGAGTATATTTTGTAAACATAGGACGCCATTCTTTCATTAAGGATCATGGTCAGTCTCTGCGACAGGGATTCAGTGGTACATTTACTGGACTGAGCAATGTACATGGTTTGTATGGTGCACATACACAAGATGCATGGACGTATATTCAGGTCAAGCGTCAACTTCTGTAGACAATGGCAATGGATTCTGCACAGACCTACCGTCCGCTGTTGTTCTTGGAGCCTCTCTAAGCGCTGACTTCGGTCGATTGGTGGGATTTGTCGGTACCGCCATGGGGAACTGTTCCCTATTTGATGCCCTGTTCATGGCTAGAGGTGTCGATTACAAAGTGGGGTTAGTATCCAGCATTCTGGAGTAAGCTCTCTAGTGTCTCTAGTGACATTTATAACCATCTTTTATTCATCTTATTAAAGCTACCGCTGTAATGCGCAATATACTTGACTGTGCGTGTGAGTGAGTTTGGTGGTAATGTCGGATTGAACAGTACTGGTGAATAGGACTGGAGCTGGCAAACCACAATTCTCAGTCAGATCAAACAACGGTGCCCGTCCAACGAAGCGATCGTGTTGTCATCATACTACGATCGCTTTGTGCAACCGGGCCCTGGCTCGGCCAATCGACCTAACATAGGCACACTGATAGCGATAATTAAACCACCTATTTCCCTAAATAATGCAATTAGTATATTAACATAACTGCATAAGATAGATCTGTTATTTTATTTGATCCTTTAAAAAAGACTAGCAACCAAATTATCTTGAGTTTAAATTTTCCTCTCTGAAAACGTTGCCTATCTGCAACATTATTGGGTCACTGAGTGAGTTTATTTTACGCCGCTTTTATCAATATTCACCTTCATATTGGAGTGGTGTCGCAAAGGCTGAAAATGGGTCTATCCCTCCTCCGTGTCCTTGTAACATCCCTCCTGAAGTAACAACTGTTTACATTTAAATGCTGTAAATATGATTTGTTTTTAATTTTCGGTATCTTGAAAACATTAATTCATCATATAAAACTATCAGTCAGGAAGATGAGTGTTTTCCATGCTTACTATGTTTCTTCGTGTGGTTGTTGTTTAAGGGCAGTATGACAGCTGAGTGGTGCAGCAGCCAGTAGATATTCGAGTCCTAAAGTATTGTCGGAAATAGTGAGTGAGTGAGTTTAGTTTTACGCAGCACTCAGCAATATCCCAGCTATATGGCAGCGGTCTGTAATCAATCGAGTCTGGACCAGACAATCCAGTGATCAACAGCATGAGCATCGATCTGCGCAATTGGGAACCGATGACATGTGTCAACCAAGTCAGCGAAACTGACTGTCGCCTCTTACGACAAGCATAGTCGCCTTTTATGGCAAGCACATGGGTTGCTGAAGACCTATTCTACCCCGGATCTTCACGGGTCACTGTCGGAATTGAAAAAAACAACCTTTTATAGAATTTAGATCTTATGTCGTTAATATGTGAAAGTGTGAAATATCCGTTAAACTAAGTTCGGCCTAACTGAAGCAGTGGTAGGTAGATGGGAAACGTAAACCAGGACTTTACTGATGAGAGATTAGTGCAGAAATGAGCAATGCAGTCCAAAGCGACTTATTTGGACAGACCATGGTTTTATGCAAATTAGTGTGCGATGATATTGTATTACAAAGGACACTTTTAAAAATTGCCCATTTTGAAATTAGACTTAACTTCATAATAAACGATAGCTAATGTAAAAGATCCTAACTTTAATACTGAAACTATTAAGGGCGTAGCTACCATGGAGCCTCACTATCACTATAAAAAGAAACAGGTAGGAGGGGTCGTCTCAAAAGCAAAACCAGGACGGGTGTCGCAGACGGTGGTTGGGGTCTGGCCGGGTAGATATCTGGAGATATCAGCTAAGGTTAGATAATCCTTTAGGGGAATTAAACTTGGGAAGAAAAAATTGTCATAACAACAATATCCAGTCCTGTCGATCTTCCTGTGGCCATGCCACCTATATATTTTTAGACATTTAATATTTAACGTTTCTATGGTTATCATACTCTTTCACATAATCCTTATGAACTAAAGACACTCAAGATGTTAACAGATGAGAAATATTCAACACACATGAAAAGGCATAAATATCTTTGAGATGGCCCTTGTACCTGTAGGCAGCACATGCATTTCATGCCAGGTGTGAGTCGACGGTCCGTCGTCATACGTATTGTTCGTATTGTTTCTAAGTTTTGCTCGATTTTACCAGTAAACACACATTTCTGGATATCCAATTAGGCATTCCACTGAACGCCAAGTTAGGCCGATGTGGGTTATTTCAACATATGCTATTTGCAGTTATGTGAATTTTAGTGATACAGAGTAACAGGCTAAAAACAGTTTTTATCTATTTCCGACAGTACTTTATCAGACAATCCGGGGATTGTTATTGTGAGGTCACTTATTCTGACCATCTGATCCACTTGCCCGGAAGGGATTAGGGGGACCAATTCTGCATGGAATCCCCGTTCAGTGCCGCGCGTTACTTGCCGGCAATGTCAGCGTATGCGAGAAGTTCAACAAACTAAATATAATATCCACTACGACTGTAAACAATCCACCTTTGGCGTTATCTATGCAAATCCTCCAAGTTATCCAAGGCTTGAGGCAACCGTACATTCGTCACTGGTTTTCTAAATGGATATTGCTTGTGGAATACGTTACATTCATTTGTATTTGTCTTTTACCTTGAGGACCAATTGTTTTTCCGTAGAAACCATGCATATGAGGGCTATGCAGCATGTAGGAAAGTAGTGCGCTTTGCAACATACAGGACGGACATGGCCCCATACTCGCTCCAGCACCTGAAAAATGGAAAGTTTGTAAGCCCGGCAATGTGCGTCACATATTCCCATTTAGTTTGGGAACAGTTACACACGGCATACATAGCATTTGTATATCTTAAAATAAATTGACATCAATAACTGTTGGGTTTTTTTCGGGTAATATTTTAATGGTTGATTGGTTGTTGTTTAGCGCTGCACTTAGCAATATTCCAGCTATATGGCTGTGGTCTGTAAATTGTCGTGTCTGGACCAGACAATCCAGTGATCAACAGCATGAGCATCGATTTACGCAATGGAGTATGAATGATAACATGTATGTCAACCAAATCAGCAAGCCCGACCACCCGATCATGTTAGTCGCCTCTTGTGGAATATTTTAGCTTTGTTCGCTAGTTTTATATTGACATCTGTGATTATCTTTTACTGTCCTTCGTCGGCAGGTTTTTCCATTACCTTTTTTATTCTATTTCAATGTCAAATGTTCTCGTCACGATATGGCTGAAATATTGCCGATGTGACGTTAAATAATAACTCACTAACTCACGCCTCTTGCAACAAACATGGGTTGCTGAAGATCAGTTTTAACCTGGATCTTCACGGGTTCAAGATCAGGAACAGTGTTGATGCCATTTCACATGTACATTGCATTTACAAACTTATCAAATGTAAGATTAAAACATCGTTTTGAACAACCAATTTTACAAAACGTATTACTGGCTGTCCTGAACAAAAGTTGTCGTTGAAACATATGTCCGGTTACTTTGTTCTGAGGAAAAGGTACATGTACAGAAGACTTGGCTCTGAATATACATGTCTAAGAAAAACATCCCGGCACCCCACCCCTTCCGCACAATATTAAACAGCTGGTCATTACCCCAACCATGACTGGACACCTGGTGTTGAACTGGATACTGATCATTTCTTCCAATGTTGCACACAACACACAGCAGATGCTGGTCGGCATTGTCGTAGGTACAGACTGAACACCTCCACATGCTTCGGGCTTTAGATGACGTATGCAGCTAAACAGCGACGTATGCCCTGAAACCAAGCCAGTTTAGTTCTAGTTTCTTAACGATTGGAAGATGTAGTGATGACTTTGAAACCTGCACTAGAATGTGAGTGAGTGATTTAATATGGCTTTACGTCGCTTTTAGTAATATTCCAGCAATATCACGGCGGGGTACACCAGAAATGGGCTCCACACATTGTACCCATGTGGGGAGTCGAACCCGTGTTTTCGGCGTGATGAGCCAACGCTTTAACTACCAGGGTACCCAGTGCCCCTCTAGGAAGTACAATTAAGAGTTTATGGAGTGTAAACATGTACAACAACCAGTATAGTATGGTTGATGGTTGGTTTGTTGTTTAACGCCGTACATAATAACATTTCAGCTACATGGCGGCGGTCTGTAAATAATTGAGTCTGGACCAGACAATCAAGTGATCTACAACAGGTGCATCAATCTAAGCAATTGGCAGTGCAGAATGAGTGAGTTGATATCTACGAATAAAGACTATGTCTGTACAGTAAACATGCTCATTTAAATAATGTAAATAATCGTGGACCAGACAATTAAGTGATCAACAGCATGAACATTACTAACAGAGCTCCAGATAATTTTCAAGCAATTGGGTATTTCCTCCCTTGTCTGTTTATGTTATTGCGTGTTTTAGGAGTAACTAGCAATTTGTATACTCCCACTAGTTTAAAGAATTATGTTCTTTTTTCTTATCCTTATTGGGTAATTAACACTTCTTATTATATACAGATACATCCTTCTCAAAAGACCTAAGTTTTAAAAAATTCTTATATTTTCAAATAGTTGCAATTCATTTCTCAGCACTAAAATTTAATCTGTATTTTGACTAATCAAACATTTATAAATCAATATCGTTCTTCATTCAAATTGTAAATCAAACAAACCCTAAAGTTTGACAGCCTGTTCGGGCGCCACGACGAATGTATCATACGCAAGCCAACTTAGTTAATTGAGTAAAGTACGCAAGGTATTATAGACCTATTGGGTTTTAAGTGATTCTTATGCGTTTTTTTGTACTCCCTGATTTGTAATTAATTGAGTAAATGTGATCTTTATTTGCGTAAAATACACAAATACAAGCCTTATCTGGAGCTCTGTAAATTATTAATGTTATAAATCGATTATTTACACATCGCCGCCACGTAGATGGAATCGCTTAGTGCGGAAATAAACAACAACAAACAAACATTGAGATTGAGCAGAATGGCGCTCGCAATGGTTCATGAGGTACATTCCTATTGAAAGTTATAGGTATATAGATCAAGCGAGTGTTAGGGTGTTTGGCTGTTATGAGAGGACAGTGTGGTATTAAGGTAGAACGCGTACGGTGTAACGGTCCATGAATCATACGACGGATTTTTTCAAGATAAGGTGTTACCAAAGTTTGAGACGTAGTTTCGGTGTGAAAAGAAAGTGCTATGAATACACAATGCGTTGGGTTGATCACAAATATAGCATATGTTGCATTTGACCAATTTCTGAAAGGCTTTGTGTGTTCATAGTTTCGGCCGTGGGAGACGTGCCAATTTTCACTTGTCAGTGGGGCACACAAGTACGTTATCTAGACTATCAATTGTGAAAGTCGTGGTGGATGAGTAGATAATTTGTGTGTGTTGGTGATTAGGTGCCCAGTTCTGAAAGTGAAAGTACGAATCCCGGATAGAACTCAACACTAGAAAGCATAAAGACTGAGGACTATGTTTATGGATATGCAACTTCGTTATTCTGTATAGGCGACGTTTCGACATAGATTCTAATGTCGTTGTCAAGCAAGTGGTACATGGGAAGTAATTTTGAGTGATATATATTCAGGAGATGTTTGGACAATAGATGAGGGATGAGGCGAAAATGAGTTGTTTTTTACAATAGAAGAGGTTGATAACACAGGATTAAGATAGATAGACATACTTTATTTCCTCCATAGCATATGAGTGAGTGAGTGAGTTAAGATTTAAAGTCACATCGGCAATATTTCAGCCATATCGTGACTAAAACTAGTTCTACATTTATAATACATACATATAATATATAAAACCCTGTCAACGAAGGACAGTAAAACCACTAGATTATCACAGATTGAGTTAAAACTAGCAAGCATATATCTTTAAAAGTAGAAAATTATTTCTGGACAATACAATGTAAAATTGGGCTATAGATCGCCAACAACTGAAGGTAGATCACCATGCTAGGGACCATGGGGACACACAGTGCCTTTGCTACCTGCATGGACCCTAATTGGATTTACACCATCCCTTCAGCCGCTGGCGATTGTAGGACAAGTTTAGCCGAACAGAAATACTACGATTAAAATGTGGCAAATTTACATTTAACTTTGAAAGTTTTGGGACTTACGTCCATAGCATATGAAGATAAATACAAGGTTCACAGGTAAATTACAACAAGTAAATCAATATAGAATTATATGGATGTACAGTAATAGGTATGGTATTTACACATGTCAGAAATTATACACATTCATAGAAATATCGTTTCCACAACTTAATGGTTCTGCATATTCGACTTATGCACATTGCCCATGTTTCATACTCGAGGGTCTTCGTGCCCTGAGTAGGAAGACCCCCCAGTATAAAACAGAGTAATATATCGTCATCATTATTCCAGAGGTTACTAAAACTTTCTACATCAAGAATGTCAATTAAGTCTTCAATCAGTCTGTCTCTTTCATACTGCGTTTCATTACAATAAAGAAATACATGTTTAACAATGTCATAGGCAAACGTACCACAAAGGTATTCGTGAGATTGAATAGTATTGCAATATCAAAAAAGCATGAATGTTTTTCTAACGTAAAATACCATAACCTGATCGAACAGTTTTCATAAGTAAGATGATACCGTGCTTAAGCTGCTCTTGTAGAAAGGTCTGAGATAATGTATTTGTTGTCTGCTTCATGAATAACAGTTTTAACCTGATGGGCCCATAGTTGTTTACTTGGAAATACAGAAGTTTCCAAGTACATATTTAAGTCATATACTCCCAGTATTCCATATTATCTTACCAAAGCCAACATTTGAAAGATGGGTGAGGTCTTACACTTTAGATATATTGAAGTAGCGTCATCGCACATGAACTTTGTAAATCTATGACAGAACATTTTCTTAAAAACAGTCCTGATATCAGTACGAATTTACCTCCCGAGGAATATGAGGGTTTGCTGCTCTATGTATAACTGCTATCAGCACGTATTAACCTCCCGAGGAATATATGGGTTTGCTGCTCTATGTATGACTGATATCAGCACGTATTAACCTCCCGAGGAATATGAGGGTTCGCTGCTCTATGTATAACTGATATCAGTACGAATTAACCTCCCGAGGAATATGAGGGTTTGCTGCTCCATGTATAACTGATATCAGCACGTATTAACCTCCCGAGGAATATGAGGGTTTGCTGCTCTATGTATGACTGATATCAGCACGTATTAACCTCCCGAGGAATATGAGGGTTCGCTGCTCTACGTATGACTGATATCAGGACGTACAAACCTCCCGAGGAATATGAGGGTTCGCTCCTCTATGTATGACTGATATCAGCACGTATTAACCTCCCGAGGAATATGAGGGTTCGCTGCTCTATGTATGACTGGAAATGAACCCCGAACAGCTTCTGGCGATAACTGAACTGGATCGTTTAGATAGACCTTGAACCTTTTTGCAGAAATATTTTTGTACTAATTCCAGCTATCATATTCCTTTCGAGATGACTCACACCAGGCATTATAACCATACAAAGCACATGTATTACAATTACAATTACATTTTGCAAATACGTACAGCATGTAAGGGGTTAACACCACCAAAATATAAGCCATGATTATGATTAATATTTACAATGAGTCGCAGTTTTTCACATGCCTGGAGAGTGCGAGCAGAGGATGATCTTGATGTACAGACGTTCAAACCGGCATAAACAACATTTGTTTTCACGGGGATGTTGTTTCTACCAATGTAGACGTCTGGAAAAGCACCGTTGCAAATGCTGTTAAAAACAATAATTGCACTTTTGCTTGCATTGAACGTAAGATGCCACATGTTTGCATAATCATACAGAGGTTCTGTATGGTGTTGCCTCTATGCACGACTCCTCAAACAGCAAGCCAACACTGATGTCATCTTTCAAAGAAGCAACACCATACAGAACCTCCTGCAGGCCACAGACAGACCCACCCCGGCAAAGAAGCCAGATCCCGCAGGTGTATTCTAGCAGATAGATTGCGACGGCGGCGAATCCTACATTGGTGAAACATCAAGACCAGTCACCATAGGATCAAAGAACACCAGGCCTTAGTAAGAAACAAAGACTCTAAATCCGCCATAACCGACCACCTTAAAGCCAACCCAAACCACAACATTAGTTGGAACACCACCAAGGTGACTGATTTCAAAACCCGAAAACTACTTGAAGCTGTCCATGTAAAGATTTGCCCAGCCATCAACAGAGATGAAGGATATTTCATCCCCAAGGTCTATCATCAGTTGCTCAATTAATGTCATGTAACCCTACCCAACCATTGTACATTATCCATTGTGTAACACTGTACATTATCCATTGTGTAACACTGTACATTATCCATTGTGTAAACATCACTTCACTACTGGCTTCCCAACAATCCCTTTACCATTTATGTAAACAACCTATGTACATCCTTCCCTACTGGCCGCCCATCAACCTACTTAATCTCTTATGTATATAATCATGTACATGTTCTTTACTGGCTTCCTATCAACCTACTTAATCTCTTATGTATACAACCATGTACATGTTCTTTACTGGCTTCCTATCAACCTACTTAATCTCTTATGTATATAATCATGTACATGTTATTTACTGGCTTCCTATCAACCTACTTAATCTCTTATGTATACAACCATGTACATGTTCTTTACTGGCTTCCTATCAACCTACTTAATCTCTTATGTATATAATCATGTACATGTTCTTTACTGGCTTCCTATCAACCTACTTAATCTCTTATGT